TAAATGATTCGAAAAGAGGTTAGTGTTTTATTAAAGAAATAGATGAAACGGTGTTCTTACCCGTTAAAAGTAACCAAAATTTGAAGTGAAATTGTCTAATAAAGACAGAAAAAAGGCTTTCCTCCTTTGGTGGTGGTAAGACATTGCCGCCGCCGTCACGTAAGCGCTTTCTGAAAGAAAAAAGGGAGTTGCGATGATTTCTAAGATTTGAAAGACTTGATAAGTATAATAGTTACGGTAATAATACAAATATTTTGATAAAAAAAGCTTTCTGACTTTTTCTTGCTATAGGATAAATTTGTGTTTTATGGTTTCAAATGTGTTTTTGGACAATACTGAACTTTTCTCACCTTGCCTCCTCTGTATGCAAACCATCACTTCGTTCAGGAAATTGGTCGTGAATAAATGAATCTGGATAAAGGTCTTTAAGTTGCTCTATCGTCAAGTGATGCTCCACAAATGATGTCCCAACTGCCTAAAAAAGAATTGAATTTAGTTATATGTGCATGTTTTTAGATATAACTGGGTAGCTAGGTAAATAAATATACACCGATGTTCTAAAAAAAACTCAAAATAGCAATAACATTCCACTTTTCGAAAGGTTGCGTCTAAACTGACGAGATTTTGTGTATTGTGTGCAATTGCAAAAAATTCTTAATTAATCGTTTTAGTATCTATACCTGTCTCGCTTCAGCAACATCCGTCTCAGCTGGTCCAACTTTGCGTTTTCGCCTCCATCTGCCACAAAAACCAACTTCTGGATCTATTGCAAGGGCTGGAACGAAGTCATGGTAAAGGCAGTTTTTTCCTCCGGGAGTTAAGTGCTTACCTCTACAATGTTTTATCCGACAATTACCTTTGCAATGTCCCTCTGAAAGATCACTTTGTAGAGACTCCTTCAAATCTGTGGGTGGGATATGTTAATTAAAATGAAAATGAACTTCTTGTAGTGGGAACTCCAGTTAAAATAAAAGATATAGGACTTTCTTCCTTTTTTCTTTTTTGAATTTAAAAAATTATAGATGCTGCCACATGATTTGGTATGACAGAACTCTATTTTTAATTTCTTGAAAAATTCACTATTCACTCTTTTATGAGCAAATAAAAAACAATTTTTCCAAGTTGACTCAGTTCTTCTTGCAGAAATGAATCAAAAACTCACTTAATGTCATTCTCCGAGAACAGTAAGCCGCGAGAATGACGGCAAGTTCCGCTCAGTGTGTCTCCAACTACGAAGCGATGAGTAGGTGTTGAACGGAATCACAGACGGCTGCAAACATAACTACGCATTGAACACTGCAGGTTCGTTGCATGATTCAATAGAAAGTTTCGTTCCCGAAATAAAGAAAGAAGAAACCAAATTGTGATTAGTGTCATGGCTAGAATTATACATGTGAAGGATAAGATTTGTTGAAGGAAAGATAATTAGAAAGAGAGGAGAGCAGGGTTTAATGTAGAGTTTTGCCAAAAAACCACTCCATTTTTTTTCTGAAAAACTTCAATCAACAAAATAGAATTAGGGCAAAAGGATGAAGATAGAAAATTAGAGGAAAAATAAGGGAATAAAAATTGGAGAGAAAAAATTCAGAGATTGATTTTAACGAGTTAATTCCAATTTCTTCTTCCTTTTCAAATTACAATTTGGAAATAAAATACGTGAACCTCGCTAGATTGCAGTTCTCCTTTTAATGAAAAACTCAAATATATTTTCTTC